GTCTGTGTGGTCGCGCCGGCGAGTTAAGAGCGGAGCCATCTTACCCCAGCAGAGAATTGGGCTCGCGACCCCAGCGTCACGACGCCTGCTCTCGCCCCGCCGCGGGTGACGAACGCGGCGCCCCGCCTGCCCACCCTTCTGGCCGCGAGCAGAGAGAGAGGCGAGGCGAACCCGTTCTCGGCGCTTACGGTAGAGTTGTAGGACTCTCCTGCCTGGCCATGCCCGGCCGCTTTGGGGAGGAGAGCGAGGCTGTCCCCGTGCTGATTTCTGCCTCCCTCGACCAACCAGCGGGGTAGGCGGGCGCAGGCTCGGCCCCTCCGCGCCGCGGGCCGGGCGCCCGCGCTCCCCCGGGGCCGCGGGTCCTCCCCGGCCGGCGCCCGGGATGCTCGCTGCGCCTGGGGATGCTGGCGCTCAAGCTCTCCCACCAGCGTGGAGCCCTAACTGGATGACGAAGATCTCTCAGGAGGAAAGCTATTGCAGAGCTAGAAGTTACATTTAACCCAAGAGCAGAAATAAGTAGGACATTTAAATGATCGCCAGGACTTAATTTCTGACTTCTATATAGCCGAAAGAAGACTTTCTGCAAGAACGTGTCGAAACCTAATTATTAACTCCACATTTAAACAGACACAGAATACACTGAAAATAAAAACGTGGCTAGGAGGTAAAAGGTAAAGTCCTGATGGCAGTGCACACATTCTTCATATTTTTTAACAGTACTTTGTAAACTCTTCAAGAAAGATAAATATTTTAACTTGTGCAGTAATGAACATTTCAAAAGCTAAATTTTATCTTTGCTTAGGTTTTATTATAATAACCCAGTGCTTAATCCAGGGCTTAATTTCGTATTTTGAGGGGAAAAAAATTTCACCATTGTAATCTCTTAAAATGTGTCTTATGGAGGATGTTAACTCTGATTATAAAAGCACTATATGCTCATAAACTTTTAAAAAGTTAGATACACAAACTAACAGTCCTCTATATTCAGTGCCTTCTGCCATCTCACTCCTTTAGGTAACCACAGTTACAACTTTAGAGTATGTGCCAGAGTGATCCTTTATACATATATAAAGCAGAAATGCACATGTTTTATATGTAGGGCATTTTGAAAGATTCATTTACTAAAGTTAATATCTAAAGAGCCCATTGATAATAATATTAATGAGCATTTATCTTATACTGAAACCATTTGTAAACTGCTGTAGTTACGACTGTAAGCATTCCGTCTTAGCAGGCCCATTTTCTCATACCCAACAGTAATTTCTTGTTATTGCCAATTGAATATAAAAACAAGCAAATACAATGGTCAAAACTCATTGACCAACCTATTCCAATTCACCCTATAGTGTTTTTAGGTATTGGAAGTTCTTCAAATTACAGGTATTTCTCAAGTGATGCCTTCCATTTTGGGAGCCAACTTGAAGGAAGGTAGGTGGTTCAGGATGTCATTACAGGGCTTTTACATTGCACAATTGAAACCTGCCATTCATTAGGAGCCATATTTAACTGGGATCCCATCAGAACCCAGCTGAAACACATCACGTTTTTCATAATACTGATGCCAAGAATACTTCCACTGGTACACCTAACTTCCAAGGTACCATTACTGACCATTTATTAAATATTTTTTAAAAATATTTTTAAGCTGAGTCATACTGAAACTGCAAAGGAATCTTTAAAATGTGCCATTCTTGTGTACTCCACCTAGAGGCTAAGTAGATGAAGGAAATGGAGTTTCTTAGCAAAGACTCCTTACAGGTTTTCATACTTTTATAGTTCTGTTGAAAAATCTATTCTTGAAATGAAAGAAAACTGGGAAGAAAAATTTCACTTTATAAGCTAGTTTGTCTTAAGTCCCAACCAGAGTTTGGCCACCATTTTTCACACTTGAAACTTGTCAAGTAGCCCCCAGATATTTTCACTTGCCTTTAAAAGCTGCCCTTATTGATGATAATATGTATGATAATATCTTTGATTGAACCAGTATACAGTGTATTCAGGATGGGAATATGCATGTGGTATGCTGTAATAATACACAGTGACTGAATTAAAAAAAAAAAAAGCCAAAAATAACAATCTGCCCTGAAGTTCTGTTTCAAAAAAGCCCTTGAGTAGTATTTGCTGTAAATGTAATGTAGTTGTTGCTAACGTAAACTTATTTCAGATGGTAGAGCAGCCTTAAAAATAGGAGGTAAATAGACCAGCAGATGGTGTAATGATTAGTTGCTAGACTCCCACATAGTCAACCACGGTTCGAGTCCCAGACTTGGTGGCTTAAAACTCAAGCCTGATGCATGTGCATGCACGCCCAGGATCTCTAGAGGTGATTCCGGCATGGCCATCTCCCCTGGGGTGTGATTTCTTGCTTTCTGTCCTTGTCTCTCTGGTGAGCACATGTGCCCTGTAGCAAAACTCTCTAAAAAAAGTGAAAAGTCAAGGTTTCAACAGAGGCTTTCCTATCAGCCTGGAAGATAGGAAACATTGGATGTGCTTGGTCTGATAGCCATCAAGCCTGGACAAGTTTTCATTTGCCTTCATGCGATTTTAAGTTTGTACGTAACTGTTGTCAAGTTTATATATATATCAAGAGTTAATAGCTACCTTCAGCTGAATACTTAAAATGTACCAGATTTGAGTATGATGCTTATTAATACTTACAAAGTTCAGATTTGTTCACACTTTCATTAGACCACAGTTCTTCCCAAGTAGTGTAATTAGCTTAAAATTCCCTTGGTAATTTGCCTTGCTCCCACTGCAACTAAAGATAATTTCAGGCTAGGATTACCATGATTAAATGAGTAAGTTAATTTTTAAAAAATAAATTAGTAAACTACTTCAACTGATAACCTGTGTCAGGCATCCAACTCTTTTCTCCTTCAAATACAGGCAATAGAGGAATGAAAGCTGGGTTTAGGGTAAAAATACAACTGATACTAATTTTTTTTTTAAAGGATTGAGCATTTAAAAGCCAGTAGTTACCATAATCCAGAAGCATAAAGTCAAGCACAGATATTCACTGAGTTGCAGTCTGTACTTCTAAAAGCTAGATGCTCTATCACTTCTCCTATCACCATCCTCCCTGCAATTTTGGGGTTTTTTTTTCCCCACTATTAATTGGATAGCTAGAAAGGGAAGAATCTCTTATGTTTTTAGAAAAGAGCTAAGATTTTGGGGCTGCAGAGACATAACTTGGATTCCAAGTCTTCAATGTATGTACATAGTGTGTGAATTTGAGTAGATTACATAATCTCTCAAGAGAGTCAGCATTTTTTTGCACAATAGGGATACATATGTCCAAAAGCAATAAAACTGTTGAGGGTTTAAACAACAGGTATGAAGTAGCAGGACCAGTACCCTGCACATAGTAGGTTTTTTTGCTTATTTTTTTTTTTTTATGCTAGAGGGTGCATGCACTTGGGTGTGAGAAAGACAAATCACCCTTTAGTCAGGATGGCCACGCTGTAATTCTTTTTTCTCATGAGATTTTGGACACACAAACACACCCAGCATGATTTTCAAGCCACCAGGTCCAGGACTATAACACTGGAGTCAGCCATGTGGGATCCAGTGCCTTAACCCCCCACACCACCTGCTGGCTCCATAGTAGGTATTTTATAAAATAGACTTGTAAGTCATGGCTATGTTCTAGGCTAGATCACCAGTGCTAGTTTTATCAATTAGAAGGCTAAGAAGATTATATGTAGTGATACGTACAAATATATATGAAGTTAACAAAATTTTATGAAAACCTCTATATGATAATTATGTTTTTTTTTAGAGAGAGATTTTTGTATAGTGTGCTTGTGCTTACTGGAGAGACAGAGACAGAGAGACAGAACACAATAAATCATCTTCCAGGGGGGATAGCCATACCACAATCCCTTCTCTGTTCTCTTCTCAATATCTTGGACACACATGCACACAGACCCACTGTGAGTTTTAAGCCACCAGATCTGGGACTCAAACCAGAGTCAACTACATGGGAGTCCAGCAACGTAACCATTAGGCCCTCTGCTGGTCCTGACAGTTATATGTCTTATCTTCACTACAGTAACTTTCAAATACCCCAGCCCCCTTTATTTCAAGCCACCAGATCCAGGATGTAAACCATGCAGATGGACATGTGGGATCCAGCTGCCTTAACGACACCACTGGCTGGTCCTCCAAACCTCTTTTTAAAAGTTTGTTCACTTGGCTTTGGGTCATCTACCTAACTGGCTACTAGTTTATTGTTTGTTTTAAAGTTTATTTCATGAGAGAGACCACGAGAACTACCCTGCATAGTCCTACCATACTACAGTCATTACCCTACCTCGTGAGCCAGGATCACTGGTGTACAGGTGCCCAGTATGTTAGGCTGACCTGGGATCGAACTTGGGCCTTCCCTATGGCTCCAGTACTGTGCACTGGTGCTCTATTGCGGTGCCACCACAACTGGGTCTGTCCATTGGTTTTGTAACCTTTGTATGGATTCTTCATCTACCCCATGGCTCACTCTCTAGGAATCCCATCTATTTTCATGGCTTTATATAAATAGACAATTTAAAAATTTATAACAGATCTATTATTTCCACTTAGATATCTAGTAAACATCTCAAACATGCCCCCAAACTAGCTTCTGATAGTTTTCTTCCACTCCACCCCACCCAGTGCCCAAACTTACCCACTGAAATAAGGGGCTCCTGCTGCTTCTGTCTTTAGAGTTTACCTGGACTGTAATGCTTTGAACCCCCATAGTAACATGTGGTCCAAGCCATCAAGATTTCTTGCCTCAATTGTTAAAATATCCTGTTTCTTCCCTTGCACTCTTATAATCTATACTGAAAACAGCAGTCAGTACCTTTTAAACTAAAAATTGAATAAAAGAAAACTGCTCCACTCAAAATCTTCCAATGGCTTCTCATGGCACTCAGGATAAAGTGCCCTTAAGATGGCCTCCAGAACACTTCCTGGTCTGGCCATGCCCCTCGTCTCCAATCATCTGGTTACTTTCCCCATTGCTCATTCTGCCCCAGCCATGGTTCTCTTTTTCTTGAACATGCCAAGCATTACTAAGAGGTAATTTGGGCCTTTGTGTTTGCTTTTCCCTCTGACTGGATACTCATATTGCCTGCTGCTTCTTTTTAAAAACAGAAAGTGAAATGCCAGATGCGGGACCTGCATCTGAAAATATGCCAGAAGCTGGAAATGCAAGTGGTCTAGGACAGAACCATGACCTAATAGTCCTTAGCAAATTACAAATGACTTAATGAGAAAGCATAAACGTAAAGGACCTTTTGTTCAATAAACAGCAGTGTGTAATACAGTACGAATAAGTAGTAGTACCTGAATTATTTCTGTTACCAATTTAGGGAACAAAGGTACATACAGTTGTTCAAAAATGGTAACACAGGGTGGCACTGACTAGATTCTCAGTAAGTGACCCAGAAACTCACCCTTTTGGGAGAGCTTGTGTAGTCTCAGTGTAGTGAATGCAAGAATCACGCCACACACAGTGCTAAGCACCTTAAGATACACCTCTGTGTATCTACAGAGTTGTCTTCCTCTCCTTACTAAAGAGGAGGCGCCTTCAGAAAAAGTTCTATTCATCTCTAGGTTCTCCTCACAGAGCGCACTATAAAAAGTGCTTAATGAAACCTGTTAGAATGAATCGTGTATATGTATTGGGTTGCATCTGAGCGTGCCCTGTGCTTGTACCCTTCTCTGTGTACATTCATCAAGTGCCATAAGGACTTTGGTTTCCTCTTCCCAGTTTAAAGAAATGTGAGACATGGGGGGGGGGTGTCACGAGGAAAAAAATCTAACTAACTGTGGTCCTATAACAGCTGATGAGCTGCAGACCTTTACTTCTGAGCCAGAGAGAAGTGCTGAGTGATTTTTTTTTTTCCACTCCGAATCCCTTCGGTGATTGGGATCTGTACAACGTACTATAGGGCAGCCCTTTCAAAATGTGTTGAGGAGACTGTTAAAATAGATTTGTAAAAGGGGGGCAGAGGAATAGCCAAGTATTCTTAGGAAATGCTGTATTAATGTTGTTGCTATTCTTTACTGAAGGATCTCAGTGTGCTTTCATGAATCCTCAAGACAAGGGTCATATGTCCCAAGTTTTTGGTTACATTGTCTTGTATGTGCAGAGCACTGTCCAGGGACCACAGGAGCATTTTGAGAAACTCTGGTATGAAGTATGCACTCTGGTAAGAATTTATGAGGAGCATTTCAACACCTTTCTGGATTTTCTTCTATGAGAAGCCAATTTTATCGGCCAATAAATATTGTAGTCAGAAAAGTTACCATTTTTGCATAGAAAAACAGAAAAACATGTCAACTTTTTAGATGACTCAATAGTTAAGTGGACATTTAAAAGATCTTTGATGTCATCTGGTAATATAATTACTAAATATGAAATAATGCTTTGGCTTTTAACCCTAGACTTGGAATGGAAAATTATCTATGTGGGCTCTGCAGAAAGTGAAGAATACGATCAAGTTTTAGACTCTGTTTTAGTGGGTCCTGTTCCTGCAGGAAGGCATATGTTTGTATTTCAGGTAAGTATAATCTTCGTAAATGTGAATACCAAATATGTTTCTAAATATATCTCATGGTCCTTGCCCCTTTTTGGGTCAAATTTCTCTGCTGCTGCTGCACTTACTTTTAATCCGCTTCTATCATGTTTTAGGTAACATGTGTTACAGAGAAATTTCACTTCCTGTTTAAAGGCTGAGTGGTGTCAATTTGATGTTTACTTCAGGGAGATGCAAAGCACACAGTAAACCTTATGCCAAATCATGGCACACATGGTTCGTTTTGGGCTCTCCTTGTAGTTCCTTAGTTTCATACTTTCAGGATGGCTGTCCAAAACATAGATTTAGCAGCCCAAAAAGTGCAAACACGTTACTAACTTGTATATGTAGTCATGTGTACCCCCAGACTGTGGCTTTAGCCACCCGGACTGATACTGATGTAACAGAACCCATAATTTTAGTTCAGAGTAATTATTAATTGAGCAAGCTGAACAAATACATTAGTAGATAGAGATATATGACTTTGGGTCACTGGAATTACAGTCCAGTGGTTTACTAAAGCATCTAGTCTACATATCTTATAAAGGACTATTGTTAACAAATTCACTACCCCCACTAGTTATTTGTTCAGTCATCTATACTTATAGGGAGTATACTTATAACAGCTCAGAGAGTAACCAACCATAGAGTATTTTTTAAATTACTTTTTTTTTTTTTTTAATGAGGTTTATGCTACAGGGCATGTGCGCTCACCGGAAAGACGGAGAACAGAGAGACAGAAAGCGAGAAATCACCCCCCAGGAGGGATGACCACACCGCAATCCCTTAACCTCCTTTCTCCTCTTGAGATCCTGGGTATGCACGTACACACACACACACACACACACACACACACACACGTGCCCGGGGTGCGTTTAAGCCACCAGGTCCGAGACTCTTAACTGCAATTGACTCCATGGGAGTCCAGCGACATGAGCCATTACGCCAACTGCTGGTCCCTAAAATCCCAGCTCCTCTGTTTATTAGCTGTGTGTGACTTTAAACAAGCTCCCTAACCTCCCTTTGTCACATCAATCATCTATAAAATGTGGGTAATATCCTCTCACAAAATTGTTATGAAGAACAAAACTGTTAGTACTATCACTGACATTTCTATTTAGTACTATCACCCCATTTCTATCATTAGAACTATTTTTCTTATCTTCTTGAATTTGTTTATAAACAAGCAGGATTTACTTTAACCTGTAATCCTAGGAAACCCATACTTATGATCATTCATAATGGAGTACTGATGATAATTGATAATGGAGAATAAGGAACTTGGGTTGGCAAAATTATATATCTTTTCATGCTATTACCAATACTTAAATGCCTTAGTTTTTTTTTTTTTTTTTTTTTTTCCAAAACTTAAATTCCTTTGTTTTTTTTTTTTTTTTTTTAGAGGTTTTTGCTATAGGGCACGTGCGCTCGCCAGACAGACAGAGAGAGACATAGAGACAGAAAGCGAGAAATCACCCCCCAGGGGGGATGGTCACACTGCAATCCCTTCTCCTCCATTCTCCTCTCGGGATCTTGGGCATGCACGCACACGTGCCCAGTGGTGAGTTTTAAGCCACCGGGTCCGGGACACGAACCGTGGTCGACTACGTGGAAGTCCAGCAACATAGCTATTACGCTAACTGCTGGTTCCCAATGCCTTAGTTTTTTTTGGAGAGGTTTTCGCTATAGGGTGCATGCACTCACCAGACAGACAGAGAGCGACATAGAGACAGAAAGTGAGAAATCACCCCCCAGGGGGGATGGCCACGGCGCAATCCCTTCTCCATTCTCCTCTCGGGATCTTGGGCACGCACACACACGCGCCCAGCATGAGTTTAAGCCACCGGGTCCAGGACTTGAACCACGGTCGACTACGTGGGATTCCAGCGACATAGCCATTACGTTAACTGCTGGTCCCCCAATGCCTTAGTTTTGAAACAGACTGAAAAATATTTTATTTGGGGGCCAGCAGGTGGCATGATGGTTAAGGCACTGAATTCTCACATGGCCAACCACAGTTCAAGCTCTGAACCTGGAGATTTGAAAATCATGCCAGGCATGTTTCTGTGCAAGCACAAACATCCCAAGACGACAGTGAAGGAGAAGGGATTGTGGCATGGCCACATCCCCACTAGGGGGTGATTTCTCACTTTCCCTCTCTCTGTCTCTCCCTGGCAAGTGTACATTTCCTATGGCAAACCACCCACACACAATTTTTTTTTAAATTTGTATGTCTGTCATGAGCACCCCAAACTTTTGACTTAAGAGAACTATAAAGGAATGAAATTTATATAAAAATACTTCCTTCTAGGGTTTTTCAAATAGCTGCTCCTTAATCATCTCATCAGCAGTGAGCAAAGAATCATCCCAACACATTTCATCTCGAGAGCTGATAACCCTTTTCTCCCCTTTTCTTTTTGATCTCCTAGCCAAGGACAGAGGAAACAATGTGATTTAGGTCTTATGTTCAATCTATGAATTTTATAAAATTTAACATTATCAAAAAAGACTAAAATATAATTATTTTTGTGTTTTAAGAAAACTGACATTGTATGTATTCTGGTCTGCCATGACTTGCCTCTCAGAATAGTTTAAACATGTCTTTCTCATGAGAGGGAAGATACCTAGATGTCTGTATAATGTGACTGGTTATAATAAAAAATTTCTCCATTCTAACTAAAGGATGAGAAGCCTGAAGGTTTCTCTACTCAAATTTGCTCAGGATGAATCCTTTGACAAACAAGTTTTTAAAAATTGTTACTATATTAGGACCAGCAGTTGGCGTAATGGCTATGTTGCTGGACTCCCAGACCCAGACTCATGCCAGGCGCATGTATGTGCCTGCCCAAGATCCCAAGAGGAGAATGGAGAAGGCGTTGCAGCATGGCCATCCCTCCTGGGGGGTGATTTCTCGCTTTCTGTCTCTCTGTCTGTCTCTTTCTGGCACGTGCACATACCCTATAGCAAAAACCTCTCCTAAATAAATAAGAATTGTTAGTATATGCTGTCTCTGGAGAGAGACAGCTTCTGTACCCCCACCCCACACCCCCAATAGAGTGTGGTCACACCGCAATCCTTTTTCTTCCATTCCCGTCAGGATTTGGGGCAGGCAGACATAGGTGCCTGGTATATTTTTCAAGCCAAGCTAGGAGTCAAACCAAGTTCAACCATGTGAGTTCCAGCCCATAAAACTGCTGCACTACAGGCTATCAAACAAATTTGAAAGTAAACATGCCTAAAGCTACATTGGTGAGGGGATGGGAAGCAATATGAGGGAAGAGTTCTGAACTATCTCTGTTTCTCATCTCCACCACTTCTACATATATTTGAATCCCAGTGGGGACCCTGAGAGTAACCTTACTCCTTCAGGATGGGAGTGCATAGACTCTCTAAGACAAAATGTTGTCTGTCCATCCTGGTGTCTCTCCAAAGAGATAAAAAAAAAAAAATCTCTTTAGGGTAAGAACTGAGTTATGATGAATTTCAAAATACTAAGCTTACAGTTGTGCCAGATATGAGATTATGAAGATGAACTGGATGTAACTCCTGCCCTGGATAAAGCTTAGAGTCTACCAGGGAGACTAAAAAGTAAACATACTTAGATTTGCATTTTTGGACATGCATTAGTAGAGGATTTGGGTTGAGTAATATAAGTCCATAAAGAAAGGAAACTATTGGTTGTACCTTCTGAGTTAGAAAGGGCTTCACTAAGGATACATTTGATGCATATTTAAAAAGATGAATTTTTTAGGATGTGAAGCATCTTTCAGACCAACGGTACGTTCAAGGCATAGATGTGTGAAAGATTATCATCACGTTTTTAAAAACCTGTGTAATTCTAGAACAAGGGTGTGAGATGTGTGGACTTAAAGGAGCTGTGAATGAAGATGCTGGTTGGAGACAAGTTGTGAAGGGCCCTATACGTGAAGTTGAACTGAGATCTCATACCTTAGAAATAGGAATAATCATCTGAGGTCTTAAAATCAGGCAAAGGAATAGGAGCAGATCTGTGTGTGGATAGTGAATACTGGCAGCAGTGAAAGTGATAGATTAGAGCTGGGGAGACCAGTAAGGAAGCTTTAGCAATGTTCTAAATAAGAGATGATGACATGAACTCAGCCTTCAGAAATCTTGAGACTATGTGAGAGATAGGACAGCCAAAGATTATCTTTACATTTTTAGAAACCTGTCTAATTCTAGAACAAGGGTGAAATGTGTGGAGTTAAAAGTGGGAGACTGAGGGAACCAGCAGTTAGCGTAATGGCTATGTTGCTGGACTCCCACGTAGTCGACCGCGGTTCGTGTCCCGGACCCGGTGGCTTAAAACTCACGCCGGGCTTGTGTGCGTGCGTGCCCAAGATCCCGAGAGGAGAATGGAGGAGAAGGGATTGCGGCGTGACCATCCCCCCTGGGGGGTGATTTCTCGCTTTGTCTCTATGTCTCTCTCTGTCTGTCTGGCGAGCGCACACGCCCTACAGTGAAAATCTCTCCCAAAAAAAAAAAAAAAAAAAGTGGGAGACTGAGAAGTTTTAACCTAAATGACCAAGTAGGTGGACATATATGCCTTTCTGTGTCATCTACAAATGGTAGGTATACAATAAATATGAGGCTTCCTTGTCCCCAAGATAAGGCATGACTTTAATGTTCACCTAGTCCCAGGGATGTTTCCTTGGTGTCCTGGCAACTGTAAGCTAATTTGCTGGGACTTCATCTGATTACCACCCAGAAAGGCTGCTGCTATCAGTCTAGCTCAGATGCCTCAGCCATTACTGCCTATTCTCTCCCTCTGTGGCTTCCTCCATGTAATCAGTCGCTTTACTGTCCTATACACTGCCATGAACAGGGCCCTAGCATTTGCTCATGCTATCTTCCTCTGGCTTGCTCGCCTCATTTCCTGCATTCCTTATAATAGCTTGATTCAAACCAAGGTCTTTGACATCTGCCTACAACAATCTTTACCTTCACTGAATTTCCATGATATGTGTGGTTTAAAGGGCACACTACATTATAGTGCCTAGCAGAGTGACCACTCACAATAGAGGATTATTAATACTTTTTGAAAATCTGCTGTATAGCAATTTCTTCTATTTTCAATATTATATTAATTTACTATTAGAATTTATGTGGGAGGTAGTTGAATGGGTATAAGAATGTAAGTGTCCTGGATTGAAGGGGGTAAATCTGTAATAAAAATTTGCTGAGAAAAGACTATGTGGAAATAATGTAATATTTACGAATATAGGTCTGAAAATTATGGCAGGAAAAGATGAGAGTCAAGACTATTGGTTTAATTGCTGCTTATTAAGTATAGTGATGCCTTCAAGTACTGAGGGTACGTAGTATACTGTGGAGAAACATGTACTGTCTTTTCTAGCTATAAGTTAATTTCAGAAATGAGCATTTGCCTTCCCAGTATGATTCCCAAGTTTTTTGTTGCTTACCCTCAACTGATGGTGCTCAAGGTAACTAAAGCTATAGTCTTGTCTGCCATTAACAGCCTTTTGTGTGTGTGTTTCTTTTCTTTTTAAATTATTCTAGGCTGATGCACCTAATCCAGGACTCATTCCAGATGCAGATGCAGTAGGTGTAACAGTTGTGCTAATAACTTGCACCTATCGAGGTCAAGAATTTATTAGAGTTGGCTATTATGTAAATAATGAATATACTGAGACAGAATTAAGGGAAAATCCACCTGTAAAACCAGACTTTTCTAAGGTAATGTTCTTACTCTTCCTTTTTAACTACTTTTTACTGTGCAGGCTTTTGGGCTATTGATATTTCATAATCCATTATGAAAATGGCTTTGAGACAAAAATAAGTTGGAGGTCCTTGTGCCAACTGGGCAATGGAAGTAACCATTGTTCCATTACTACAGATGACCTCAAATCCTCCAGATGAGTCATTAATAATGTTCAGCAGACACCCTAAGAATCTCAAATGATTTAGAAAAATGAAAAGTGCCTCCTATAAGAAATAGACTTTAGGCCTTTATTTATGGCATTCTCCATGGTATTCACCATACATCATGATTCTATTTCAGCTTTTAGGACATGCAAGTTCATGTCTGTTGTACATTATTACTCAATAATGATATTTTGCCTGTAGCTCTTCCCAGAATTGTGGGGAGAAGTTTTGTGTTTTCCATATGAGCCCTCAGAATACCTATATGCTCTTCCTTATCTGCTATTCATAGAGATTAAATACTTCTGGTGATGAAAAACAATTTCTAGTGATAAGCTGAAATCTGTGATTTGGCATTCTCAAAGTTACTTAGTACCTTCTGATTTTCCATTGGGAGATGTAACAATTTAGAAACGTGATTTTGTGAAGGTACAAAGTAAATGAAACTGGGCATGGTACACTATCTGTCAGAACATGCAAGAAAAATTACATGACAGTGGAATAGAAAGTGCTTCTTTCTGATAGAAAGGCTGGGATGTTTTTCACCCTGGTTGTGGGACCTTCCATTGATCCAATTTATTAGTCACTTGTATGCTACCTGTATAGCAGGATAGAAAGGAAACTAGAATGTTGTTTCTAGGATTGAGCCAATAATATTTAAAAGGTAGATAGCCAGTACTTTTTTTTTTCCAAGAGATTTTTGCTATAGGGCGTGTGCACTTGCTGGAGAGAGAGAGAGACAGACAGACAGAGTAAGAGAAACAGAGTGAGAGATCACCCCCCAAGGGGGATGGCCATGCCATAACCCCTTCTCCATTTTCCTCTGGGATTTTGGGCACACATGCACATGTGTCTGTTGTGAGTTTAAGCTGCTAGGTCTGGGATTGAAACCATGGTGGACTGTAAGTCTGTGAATTACAGCTCTCAAGCGATGTAACCATTATGCCATCTGCTGGTCCCAGGAGCCAGTATTAATAAGAGGTTATATTTGGGGAAATTTTCATTTTCCTTGAAAACATAGCAATCTAAAGAGCACATCAGTTAAATTAAACATCCTCTTAAGAACTGCCCTTTAAAAAAAGATGAGCTCTCCCAAGAAACAGAATAATAGAGTTGTTAAATACTTCATTGGATCATAAAAGAGCTGGATGAATTATTTCAGATTCTCCACATCTTGTTTCTGTTAGGCTAAAATAATCTTGTGATGGCCCTAACCCCCATTCTATTAGCTAGATTTAGAGTGCTTTAGAGTGTTGTGGATGGGATCTTCAAAAAGTTTCATTAACAATGTATGTTACAGAAAAAGCATGAGTTTCAGTATTTTTTGCACTGAAATAAACTCATACTTTGACTCTTTCTCCACAAACTCTTTTGAAGTCCCTTCATACATGAACTTAGACCTTTAGGAGTGAATGCTAACCTAAAGAACCATCTTATTAAGTTCCTATTTGCATACTGTGATCTAAAGTTTCTTAGTGTTCACTATTTATTGTATTTCCTTCTTCCTCCAGCTTCAGAGAAACATTTTGGCATCTAATCCCAGGGTCACAAGATTCCACATTAATTGGGAAGATAACACAGAAAAACTGGAAGATGCAGAGAGCAGTAATCCAAATCTACAGTCACTTCTTTCGACAGATGCATTACCTTCAGCATCAAAGGGCTGGTCCACGTCAGAAAACTCACTAAATGTCATGTTAGAATCCCACATGGACTGCATGTGACCACCTGCCATCCCTTTAGTACAAACTAAGCTATTAAAAACACAGAACTATTTCCCTGAAATTCCGTAAGTACATAGTCAAGACACAATGTGAAGAATTTGTTTAAAAACATCCTGTAGAAAGTTTATAAGAAAAACCAGTATTTGAGCAAATTGTGGAATATAAATACAACTATTTTTAAGTAATTTTTTCTCTAATGTGTTATTTTATTTGTTCTTGAAACTAATTTGATTAAAGCATATATATTATTTTCTTCTCCTTTATATGTAATTAAAGCACTTATAAAAAAAAGTATGAATCATTAGTCCAGGTTGTAAACATGTCTTAGCCTCTTGGACAATAATCTTTGGATCACTGCTTTACTAGACTTTTTTTTTTTTTTTTAAAAAAAAGCTTATGTCAACTAAAATGTTTCTTCCTGTGAAGATACATGGTAGCTTTAATTTAAGGGACACATTTTCCTTCTCTTTTGGCATGTTCTTGAAAAGGAGTTTTGAAATTAAAATGTTCAGAGGAACTTTAGGATCTGCTTTTTCCACCCTGAAGCCCCTTAAAACTACAAACTATTACACTTTGTGTAGTGTTAGATAATATTTTAATTTCTAAGATACTAACAAACGTAGCTAATTGTTTATAGGGTCCTCTGGCTATGGTTTTAGTTTTTATAATAAAGTTCAGGACATTAGAGCACTTCTTGAATCATACACCATTATTGCCCTGTGAATTACAACTCTCAAGAGCAAATACAAACTTCCGAAGTTTTAAGAATAGGAGATTCCAGGAAATTGGAATCGAAATAAGTAAGCCACCTGAGTTCTGCGTCAAAAACTAAACACTTGCAGTATTAGTGACTGCACATTTCCTGTAGCAGAATAAACCCCCCTCCTCCATAAAAGGCCAAGATATCAAAACATAGCATGAGCCATAATCAAGGTAGAACTGTAATGGCTCAAATCTGTTCATCAGATTTATAAAAATCCTCTGAACTTGAAAAATTCTTTTGGTATCTGTTCTTGGCCAAATTTATATATAAAATTGGATTTAGGAAGGTATATTTAGTTTTGTCATTATATTTACTATTTTTTGGAAATAACATATATTTTTCACACCTGTAGTACTCTTCCCCATATCCCCTCACACTCATGAATAATAAGGTCTGGCATATTCTTGGTTGACATACTCTAGACAGCTCTTCCAGATAACAAGTTTTTGAAAAGCAATCTTAGAAAGGAGTTCATAACTAAATGAGCCAAAAATTTCTTTTTTGTTGACAAGAGCTAGGTCCTTCCTCAAAAAGTTTCTTTTGCTGCGTTAAATTAAAGGTAGAATATTTTCATTACTCTTGCTGGTAAGCAAGATGGCTGTTTGATACAGGTAATGCAGTGCCTTCATATCTAAAACTTTTATACTGCACTTTTTAAAGCCTTTATTTTGAGGAAAGGAAAAAGCACTTGTTTAAATATGGATTTTAAGTTGTATGTATGTCCTATCATTCTAAAAAACTGAATTTGTGAAGGAAAGTTTTGCTAAATGTTAAACTTTGAAATTTAATACACTAAATTAAAATATTGTCCATTAACTAGTTTGTAGATTTTAAAAGTAAAGTACTTCCAGCTGTTAAAATTATATGAAGAAAGTCTCATTTTTGTCTAATATCAATTAAAATGTTGCAATATTAAATTGATAATAAAATACTTTCCAGCAAAGAACTCAGTGATTGATATAACAAGGACAAGATATATACTTATTAGAAATAATATATAAACCAAATCACCAAATAGAGCAATTTACTGATGAGTATTTATTCTAATTATGATGATCAGTTTATTGTGCCATCAAGGGTTAGGTTTTTATGTAAATCTGTAATGATAGTCAATTTTCACAGATGTTTAGAACTTAAATAATAATATTACTTTTTTATCTTAAACTTAAAGCTCTCTAAGACAGTTTTTTAAAAATAAAAATGACTGCAAATAGAGTTAGAATTCAAACATTAATAACTAAGATACTGTAGCACTTAAGTTTTTTGGTTTTTATTTTTTCTGTTTAGCATTATTTAAAGATACTACATCAGAATTATGGCTAGAAGATGTAGAACTGTTTTTCCCACGTTTTATCATGGTAGATAGCTATGTCCTGAAAAGTTAAATATTGCTTCCGAAGAGATCTGTGAATAAGTTGGAAGGAATGAGTACATTACTTGAACTCAGAAAACTTCCGAGTCAGAGAAGTGCACATGCATTTGCTCAGTCATAACCTAATGTAACCTTAGGCATCCATATGATTTTACCCTCTGGATTTAGGATTTGGAATTTTCCAAGAAAATCTATGGCAGTTTTCAAAACATTTTATCATAAGCCATAATAAAATAAATAAAGCATGACCCTTTAACACAAGTATGTATTTATATTTCAAAGTGCTGGTTTTGACCACTGAATTAACTTCTATGACTATTATGGGTACAATACACAGTTTTGCAGAAAGGCTAGTCTGGCCTTTTGGGTAGGTAATGAATAGAAATAATTTTTATGTAATTTTAAAGTTATATTTCCTCTACTTGTCTTTTCTCTTGTATATGGATTCTAATCTTGGCATGAAAAGGGTAAAGTGTAATATCCTTTTATACCAATGTACTAATCTAGTTGATCAGCTGTTCCCCTTAACCTGTCTAAGTAGTCTGAAATTCCTAGTTGCCCTCAAGATAGTTTAGACTCATTTCTTGACACACTAATTATTCAGGAAACATTCCATGTAATTACTTGGGAATCATCTTTGTTGTTGCTATCCATTTTATACAGGACTCTAAAATATTGGGTTGTAAGGGTTTTAAAATGCACAGAAAGTATTTTTTATATATATATATATA